TACAAATTGTTTAAGAAAAAAGTTGTGTAGGTTGTAATTATTAATATTGGAAATATTGAGCAGTCAAAGTCATACGTTTATAAATTTTAAAAAAAATTACAAGAACATCATAGCATGCATGAAAATAAACGAATCTACTTGATTAATATTCAACAAAAGTACTTTTACGATTACACTAACTGTTTCAGTCTTAAGTTTCCAATTCTCTTAAAAGCAAGTACTAATTTGTAATCTAACAATTTAGTTATTAATGCCATTTCATATTAATACTTTTAATGTTGTATCTACCAGAAATGGGTGACGGAATTATTCATAAAAATGTAAGGAGATTGGAAGAGTATTCAGTATCGCATGTAGTAACCTTTCAATTTTTACTTTATTCAATGAATTACTCCTTTTTTTTATGGATCTTTTTAGGCTGTTGAATTGGCAGTTAAAGCGTTAACCGTGATCAGTAAAGCAGGTCCCCATGGAAATAATTCAATGCCAAAGTAGTTGTTAATGCAGAGGCTCTATGCACCCTGGGCCAATCATTATTTATATATAGCGTCCTACAACCGAAGGAAATCCGTCATTCAATCACTTCCCGCTCAGCTGGGAACCCTACGACGAAACTTGTTTTAAATCATTATATAATCATTCGTGCGAGGCGTATATTCACATATGCGAGGGGTCGGATTATGATTGGCACAATGTACCAAGAGGACGTTGCAAATCCACAACGTTGTACGTGTGTTAAATATAAACGATTATCATGGTTCAGTAGGTCAGCTTAAAGGTGACAAGCCTGTACCACATTCTTTCTAGATCACTTTCTTTCCGTGAAGCAACGTATAAGATGGGTCTCGATAGCGAACGCAACGCGAGGAACAAACGACATTGAACGTATTGTGACCGAATGATTTTCTTTCTTCCTCGTAACCACGTTTACGAATTTATTTATTGCGTGCACATCATTGGACTCGCACAATTGCATCTCGTCATCTCAATGAGCCTGTATTTCGTGCAATCATTTTTACAAATTGATCATAATGTCTGGATGCGGCTAATTCCTCGACACGCAAGTTCCGAACGATCTCTTGGTTTTAACTAGATCTTCGTTATTCACTTCCGGTTGCGAAATAGGTAACAATTTTTGCAGAGATTGAACATATACGAATGCACTGTGCTTCACGATGAGTATCGTGTTTTGTAATTATTAATTGAATAATTAAATATAATCATTTTTTATGTATAGGACGTCGGAGTAAAAACAAAATGTTCACCTTCAATTTGTCAAGGTCATATTAAGATTATTTCGTGTTTTTTGGATGGAGTGCTATATTTTTATTTTGGTATTGTAAAAGTGAGGAGACACACAAGTTTAGCATATGTCTTTGAAATAATATTCTGACAGTTTAATGTTGCAAGAAGGACAACATTTTCACATTCCATTTAAAAAATAAGAAACGATCTTAGTGTGATCTTGACAGTTTTTTCACAGTGACATTTTAAATAAAAAATGTACCCCCTTATGCATTTGGGAAGATGCGCCTTTTTGTAAATATTTCTTTGAATCGTTGCAATTTTCAATTGGCGTTTCGTCATATTTATCATTCTATAATTGCATTACAATGTATTAAAATGGTCTATTTAAATGTAATCTAAAGGTCTCATATTTCGTACAAAAATGTAAATACTGGAGATACATAGGTAACATCACGTAATAGTCAACATTATTCCAAATCTTTAATACGTTGTATTGATAAACATTAACTCTTTGACAAAGTAGTAACTATGTAAGTTAAGTTTTATTATTAAAACATCGATTTTCGGCATTTATAGTACACATTGTAAATTAAAACAACATTTAATATTAAATCAATCCTTCGACTACTATTTATTGCAAAAGTTATTTCTACTTTCCTTAACATTCTATACTAAAAATTAATTTTTTAGTTCTATTCGACTTATTTTCTGACGTAAAATCAGACCCTATCCGGTTGTACCATCAGTTACACGACACCCTGTATATCTATTATTTTTGTCATTCTATTGATTTATTATTAGATATCTAAATGAAGAAATGAAGATTGATCTTCAAAACTTTGATTTTAGATTTTAACCTAATATATCTACGCATAATACATTTACAGAAATAATAGTCTTCCTTGATCATAACATTTTATAACATAGGTATTATTATAAAATTATAAAATACTATTAAGTAAGAATTTGTACATGTGTGTGTGTGTGTGTGTGTGTGTGTGTGAGACATGTAATTTTGCAAAGGTAATGTTAACAATTTGAACATGTGTTAAAAGAAGATAACCTACAAGCAAATAATCTAGTTTATTAATTAAAATATATTCAAATAATATTTAAACATCATTTTATTGCACTGCAGAAATACGGGAACATTCCCGCGACATTTAACAGGCGTTATAATTTTCAACAGAAAACATTTCAAACTGTTCTGTGCTGTTTAAGTTCGAATAGCTTTATTGTACATGCAACAAAAAATGAGAGGAAATTTAGAAACGTGATAGGCTTATGACGCACGAATTTAATAAAAGCGTATATCATTGGCACACTGGACGGTAATGCGTCTGCATCGTAATTGGACGTTTTATAAAAGTCACTCGCAGCATCTCTGTCGAAATGGAAACAGGAAACCTTGAAAACAAAATTATGTACACGGGTAATAAGGGTATTTAATTGCGCTAATCTATGCGACGTAATCTTTTCATCATTGTGATCCGAGATCATTCATTTTAACGAGCCTTTCTAGAAACAGAAATACGATCCATGCATGTTGCTAAATATTTTTTTCTGAAAACAGTACACGTTATCTATGCGAAGATACATACTGTGAGCAGCGATATTACTCGGACACCTCTTAAAATGCAATAACTTTCTTACAATTGGATCAGACGATTTGAATTGTTTTGTGACGTTAGATTGACAAGTAAACGAATTTTATCAAAACTTGCGATTGCCTGGATTGACCACAAAAATGAAAAAATGATGCTTCCTCAACTTTTTATTATCTGAGCGTTGTTATACGAATAGACTGTGGGTCTTTATGCAAAATAAAATTTGTCCGCATCAATTGCAAGAAATAGAAACTAAACGGAAAATTCTTTCTTTTCTAAATAGTTATGATAGATTGAAAATAACACGCTGACATTTTTAAATACTTTTAGTCTTTCTACTATATTAAGTTGCACAAATGCATAAAATCCGCGGTCTAGTTATGATTTGCAAACAATCAAAGGTACACAAAATTGTTCAAATTTTCGTTACAAGCTCAGGTAAGAAAGTTGTAAAAACATAATTTTTTTAATTTTTCTCGTCATTCCAACAAACCGCAATTTTTGCAAAAATTTTGTTACTCATCGTCTACTAAACTATAATGAGTCCGACATCTAAAAAAAATTCAAGTCGTTTAAAAGGTAACCGGATATTATTGTTACTCACTGTATGTGTCACGAGAATTGATAAATACTAATTCAACGAGGTAAAGTGTTTATTTTGAATTATCTTGTTGAACAATGGCTTTCATTGTTCTATCTCGAAAGTGAAAACAAAAATGTGATTTGTGGCATTCTTCCTTGCAGCCACAGAAATATGGTCCGAGTATTATGCCGGTGTCTTTTTTGACCAGGGCTAGCTTCACTCTCTCCCCACCACCACTTTCACCGCTTCCGCGGAGGAAACACTTGGTGCGTTTCTATACCTGTCTCAAAGTGGCTCGTACTCTCGGGCACGAGGGAATCTCGAGGAACTGTGAATGTATCTGCATTAGTGAAACATCTGGGGTCGGATGTGACCCCAGTAAGACGCCGTACGCCCCGGTACTTGAAGTAATAGCAAACGGTGAAACATTCGTTTGAGAAAGGCTTTGCACAGAAACCCATTTGTTTACCGACTAATTGTAAATTGTAAACTCGCGTATTATTATCGGAGAGACGGATACCTACCTGGTTATTGACAAAAGGGTTTATAAAATATGTAAAATTATGACGTATAGTACAATACAAGAAAGAGAAATTCTCTCATACAATACATACATTCCCTTGTATAGTTTTACAATAGTGTCTTATAGAGTCTTGTAACGACGAATTTTCGCAATGACTAACCGTACATAACCTTGACAATCGTACTAAATCTACGATTTCATCCAGCTGTCTCGGTGACCCGTGACAACGCGTCCGTGTCACAATCCGACTGTCTGATAATTCGCGCTTCCAATCTGAAATCGCGATAGTAATCGCGCCTTGAAATTTCCATACGATTTCGCGGCGGGGGTTTCCTCTTTCTCACACTCTGTTGTTCACGGCCTTCGATAAGTTTAGGTTACGTCATCCGAACCGCGAATAATTCCTGTTGCGATGTTTTCGTAACTAGCAAACGGGCCGGCCGGTCAGCTCGTCACGACACGGCAGGACACGCGCAGAGGACATGAATTTTCCGTCGTCCAACGATCAAATGGACCCGACGATTTCATCGGGTAATCGCGCTTCTGTGGGAGAGTCGCGAGAGCACGCGAGAGTGCGGGCTGGCGCGATCGCGGGGCTGGTTAACTGCCGGCTCGGTCCTACTCGGCATTGCTCGGCGCTGCTTGGCGTCGGTCGTTTTCGCTCGGCTCCGTTCGGCAGCATTCGCAAGGAGTGCGCCGACACGCTTCTCCACATAAATATCGCGGTCGCGCTCCGACGGTAGTAACACGGGCCGCGCTATCATCAGCTGCTCCGTTGCCTTTATGACCAGTGCCTTTGAAGTCTTCGCGAGAGAACGTGACAGAACCTTGTGCGCTCGCTTCCAGAGATCATAGATCGTACCACACGTCGTCTAGCGTTCCACGCAGCTTTGCTGGATCATCGATAACACCGGTGAGTCGAGATCAAGAGATCCTTGCATCTTACGCGAACTATAGATCATCGATTGTTCGTGCTGTCATTCACGTAAACCTAATTACGCCCTAACAGTTACAATTATTATTGTTTATAGATACTGTAGGAACGTTTGCAAATATTTTCTTGGACGCGCTGTTCAATCGACATTGTACCGATTTTGGCTCAGACATAAGCCAGTCATTTTCTTTCTTACTAATAATTAGTATATGAACAAATTAATACAGCGAAAGTTTTAACGCTGCAATATTTCAGATCCTTCTTTATGCATAATAAAACATGTTTTGTGAAAAATAAAACAAACTTCGTGGATAACAATAATAATAATAATAATAATGATAATAATAGATTTTATACATAACAAAACAGACTTCATAGGTAGTAAAACAGTAGATATAAGTGGCTGTGCAGAATTTTATATGAAATTACGAGGTAATTTGAAATTTGTACCGTTCCATGAGGAACGTTATAAAATGCATGTAAACATTGCATATTTGTAACAAGGAAACGTGTACGTTGTTTGGGGTGATCGAAAAACTTGTTATTATCATGAGATTATATGTATGAACAATTTTCAAACTTTAACAGTAAAGTATATATCAAAATTTAAAAATAAATAATTTATTATTTCTGCTTCTTTATGCATTGAAATTTAATTACAGACTAAAGGTTCTTTTTATTTCTGCTATTTTATGTATATAGAGTTGTGTTAATTTAATTACATTGTAATTCAATTACATTGTATTGGAGGTGGGCAGGTACCCGAAAAATTCGGGTATCCGAGCCTCGAGTCGGGTCGGGACTCGAATGTTTCTGCTACTCGGGTACCCAACATCGAAGTCTAGTCATGCAGTGCTTTCGGGATCCACCCTTACATTGTATTTGAATTACATTGTAATTCAATTAAGTAATTCAAACCTTTCGGTTAATACAATTATTATTCAATTTATATATATATAATCACGAGTGTAATTGAAATACAATGTAATTGAATCACAGTTCTTCAAATTACAGCCCAGAACTTTGAAGAAGTAAACATTTCTGTTTTTTCTTTCGTATACTCATGTTTTGTCTCATCTGCCTATTTTCTGCTTCTTATCATCATTCATAGTACGTGCCGCTATCTTATGTTCATGTTTTTTGTCGACCGTTGTTTCATGTTTATACTAGAACTTTTACTATCCAGAGTTGGGCATCATTTAAGTGATTATTTAAATACAAAATTATTTGTTATTTGGAAGTTTCAATGAAAGATAGAAGTAATTACTTATTATTTATACAGGTCGAAATAAATTATTTATAGTAATAAAATGTATTTCTTGTTTGCGAATACGATCTGAATTGGAACTTATTAATTAGCATTTAATTGTTTATTATTTATTATTCAAATAATATTATTTAACACAGGTCATAAGTCGGGAAATAATGATCTTCAATCACTCTAAGCGATATCATTGTGTTCACGAAGAATGGCTCAAGTTTTCTAATAATAATAAATGGAAATTAATATTCATTGCACGATGAACAAGAAAAATCAGAATTACTTATCATTTTCTTTTCATCTAAATTCGAATACAAAATAACATTGTATTTGTACATAATACACAATAGACGAAAGAGAAAAGAAGTTATTTATTATTTGTCTTTCTCTAAAATCCAAATAAAAAACAACATTTCATTTTTAAGTAAGAAATAATAAATAAATCGTTCGTGGAATTATTTAAATGATTTTTCAATTAAATAAAAAATTTAATTGTTTCTTACGAATGAAATATTAATTTAATTTATAATTGTAACTCGTCATTGTAACTCGAACTTGGATCCAAAATTCAAGTAGACGAATCCGAATGTTTTTCATGTCCTTCTTATACTTGTAACAATGAGTGTGGTACGTATGAATGTAGTGGTATAAAGGTATGGATGATGATAGGAACCCACTAATCGATATCAGGTATCGAGCGGAATCGAATCGGCACAAAGAGTGATTTCGCGCAAACCCGGCGTCACCTTTCCCTATTGAATTACGAATTACATTGTAATTTAATTTGAATGGCGATCTGAATGAATTATGCACTACAATGTAATTGAATTACTTTGTAATTATATCTCCTTGAGCAATTCAATTATCATTCTGCACAACTTCGATTACTATATACATACATAGTTACAGATTAAAATTTTTTTTAATTTTTACTTCACTATATATTGCATTTTAGTTACAAACTAATTCTTCTTTCTATTGTTGCTTCTTTATGTATCGCAGTTTAACTAAATTTTATTATTTATTTCATTAAATATTATTTCATTTTATTTAAAACTATTATTTTATTTCATTAAATAATTTTTCTCATTTATTTTCCACCGGGGTACAATTTCTTGCAGAGATGTTAGCAAAATGTAGCTATTACATAAACAGAGCAGGAAGGGTAACAAGTGTCGTGCCAAGGCTCGAGTCAATACAACCCGAATTTCTGGGGTCGCTGAAACGTTGATCTAGCGCAACTCCGACGCGAGCACAAAGTCACTCTTAATTTCTGTTTATACATATTCCCTATCGACGGGAAAACAGAAACAAAAGAAAATACTTTCGTTTACATAAATTTTACATTTGCGATTCCGAATATTCTTACTAAATAAGAATATCAAATTTTGAATTCTTTGATAATATTAAATTGGGTATTATTAGCATAAGTGTCCTAATTCCTCAAAATTAGCGGACACTGCAGGCCTAGCGAGATATTAATGGAATAGGTTTCAAATTAGGTTAGATTGGTCTCCAAAACTCGGGTAAAAGTATACGCGGTAGTGTTCGCCGTCATGTTGTACTTGGTGTCGATATGCTACCGCGTATTT